GATGTCGTATATTTTTGTTTAATTTTTTTAAATTACAAAACGATGTCGATTTTTAAACAAAACCGACATCGTATATTTAAAAAAACAAAAAAAAAAAAAACAAAATGTTAACTTTAAAATAAAACTAATAATAAATGATGCCGGTTATTTATAAATAACTGACGTCGTTTATTATTATTTTTTAAATTTATTTTTTTATTTTATGATTTTTCACCTAATTAATCATGTACAACTTTTACAATTCTCAACAATTTTTAGAACATGTCCAGCAATTTGATATTCAAAATCTCACAATTGATCAAACTAATAAATCTTACAATTAATTCAAAAAGCAACTCAAACCATCAACTAAACAAGTTAAATTTATAGTAATTCTACAACTGATAATAATAATAATTTCAAACTTAAATTATCAACATCAACTAAATATCAAGCATTGTTTTAATACATTCATCAATAAGATACTTAGCTTAGACCATACGTCTCTAACTTCATCAGTCTCTAGTTGATTGTAGGGCAAACTTCCTTGTCTCTCTAAATGCTACAAAATTGAAAAAAAAAAAAAAAAGTAATAAATAAGCTAGTATTTTAAAAAATTTGAAGGAGAAAGATATTTTATTAAATTACTTGTCTTGTTCATTCATTTGAAGTAGTGGTTGGAAATAATTTTCAACATGAATTTCATTACATAATAGCCACATTCGATAGTTCCTCTTTGTATGGCACACTACATTTGAATTAAAATATAATTAAGAATTTTTTTTTACTAAAAACAATAAAATAAATGTACTTTTACAAAGTATATGAAGTACGTACTTAGCTTACCGAACATATACTTCACTTCATTTTGGTGAACGACTTGGTTTCTTTCCAATCAACATGCTTGTTGCAGTGACACATCTATTAATATAAGTAGACATAAAACATGTACAAGTACTTGACATCACTATATCAATAATAACTATTAATTATTTATAAATTTACATATGTTTCCATGATCTCTTTAATGCCATCACGTGGCGGGTAACCAAGTGAATCAAACCAAAATATTTCATATAATGAAGGACAAACCGCCATCAACATCTAATGCCCACTACAAAAAATTAATTTTTTTTTTTAACCAACCAAGACATTTTATTGACGGCGAACAGCCCGATGAGGGGCAAAGCCTCTAAGGTCATACAAAAAAGCCATCCTGGCTTGTACAGGCAAAGAGTTAACAGAATTAAAAAGCTTTGGAGATGGTGAGCGAATGCCCTCAGAGGCAAGTGCGTCTGCTACTTGATTAGCTTCCCTGTAGATATGCTTAATCATGGAGCCCCATGTACGCAGATAGTGACGGATGAATTGCACCGCATTGGATATCCGCCACGGGATCTTGGTAGTGTCTGTCCCCGCCAAGGTCGCGAGGGAGAGAGAGTCCACTTCAACTCGAGATGGACTTCTAGCAAAGGCAAGACACCAATAAAGAGCACGCTGTAGAGCTAAAGCTTCGGCTTCTAGTGCTGATGTTGCCTCGAGTTGGAAGCAGAGGCCGGCTATGAGCTGCCCATGACAGTCCCGCAAGCACGCCCCTCCCGCGGCCCCATCAGCCCCAAAGGCCGCATCCGTGTTTAGCTTGAGACGGCCCGCAGGCGGTGTGAGCCACTTGATCCAAATGGTTACCTTCTTAGGAGGCGTGTAGAATGTTCTCAATAGGCCCGCCGAGAGCAGGAAATCATCTCCCGAACCCGCGCGCTGTAACTTCCGAGTGGCAGCAATCAGAAACATATCCTGCTTAATTCGGTTGATTGTGTGGGAGGCTGTATGGGAGCCATCACCGTGTACTCCCTGATTGTAAGAACACCAGAGATATCAAAGAATCAGGCATGGCATAAGAGTGGCGTACCAGTCCGTGGCCGAACCCGGGGGCGCAAATAACCACCAGGAATGGCATTCCGACCGCAACGAGGATGCACCAGTTGTCGATCCAAAAATACCCCGATAATACCTCCAAACCTGCTGGGAAATTCCACAATGATATAGGCAGTGATCCAGCTCCGCTCAGGCTTGATGACAGAGTGGGCAGATTGAGGGCAAGCAAACATTAAACCGCTGAACAATATCTGGGAAAGGTAGAAACCCGCAAAGCAGTCTCCACATAAACAAAGAAACCTTCGACGGAATCCCTACAGCCCAAATACACCTGGAGGAAAGACTTGTAGCTGATTTGGAACGCAACGCATCATGAGCTGACGCAAGGGAGAAATCGCCATAAGGGTCGGGAGTCCAAATCAATTTGCCAGAGATTACCTCCGTGTTATCCTCTACAAAGTCCCTAATTTGCTGCATTCGCTTCCAAGTAATTGAGGTAATTCTGCGAGCAGGAGAGTATAGAGCATGCATGTAATCACTCCACAATGAACCACCCTGAAGGTAGCCGAAAAGAAGCTTTGCAGAGTAAGCTTGCTGCACGGTTCTTAGAGACCGAAAACCCAATCCTCCCTCTTCAGTTGGGAGGCATACCTTACGCCAAGCTGCCCAATGACGCTTTGGTTTTCCATTTTCTGTGCCCCACAAAAAATTGGCAAACTTGGATTCTAGAGCTGCTTGAGTCTGCCGCGGGAGAGGGACCGAAGCCATAGTAAATAAAGGAATTGTGTTCAGAACATGCCGTAGAAGTGTCAGTCTCCCTCCCGGGGGAGAGTAAATTGCGCTGCCAACTGAGGAGCTTGTTGTCAACTCTCTCCAGAAGGTGGTGGTAAAAAGAGGGCGGTTTCTGCCTTTAAAAAGATTGACTCCCAGATAACGAAACGGTAAGGCAGATTGTTGCATGCCTAGAATCCGTGACATCTCGGTTGTCCTGCTGCGTGTGCACCAATTCGAAGTCACAAAGAAGCTTTTATTGTAATTGATTTTCTGCCCAGAGCCTGCTTGGTAGTCATTCAGGACGGTTGTTAGAGCTTTCAGTGACGATGATGTGCCATTTACGAAGATAACAATGTCATCCGCGAACGCTAAATGGGTGATTAAAGGGCAACTTGGGGCTGTAGAGTATGGTGTGAGCAGTCCAACACCCATCCTCAGAATAAGAGATCTTGACAGAGCCTCAGAAGCTAGGATGAACAGTAGCGGGGATAGCGGGTCGCCTTGTTTAACTCCCCTTGAAGGTTGAAAATAGCCGCAGCTCACGCCATTAACGAGAATTGAGAGTCTTGTGGCCTCCAGGTTTTGCATTATGAGGTTGACAAACAACTCCGGGAAGCCAAACTTCCTTAAAACCTCCCGAAGGAAAGGCCAGGACACCCTATCGAACGCTTTCATCATGTCCAGTTTAATGATCACATTAGAGCCGCGACATTTCTTGTCAAGGAATTGTAACAATTCAAAGGCTAAGAGGATATTGTCTTGAATATTCCGCCCAGCTACAAACCCCGATTGCTCCCTGGAGATCAAGGCCGGCAAGATCGGCTTCAACCTGGTAGCTAAAAGCCTTGTTAGAACCTTGCTGATAAAGGTGCACAAACAAATAGGCCTGTAATCCGCAAACGAGTCCGGATGAGTTTTCTTGGGGATCAAAATGATTTGTGCGCTCGCCATTGCCCGGGGAACAGGGACCCCTAATAGGAAATCCTGAACTGCCCCATAGACATTATCTTTTACAATATCCCAACAGTGACGAAAAAAAGCGCCCGAGAAACCGTCTGGCCCGGCTGCACTATCAGGATCCAAATTCCAAACCTCATCTTTAACTTCTTCTTGCGAGAGTGGCTTGATGAGTGCGGCAGCGTCTAGAGGGCTCAATGCCGTGTTCAGATACTGGAGAAGATTATCCACGGCTAGAAATTTATGTTTTTCTGACCACTTTTCCGACCACCCACAAAAATGGTCGCAAAATGTGACTTTTTTTCTATTTTTCGTCCAAGAGTTAGACTTGATGGAAAAAGGTCGAAATTTCCCGCAACTTTTACTATAGTTGTTGGAATTTCCGACCATCTTTAGTAGACTGGTCGGAAATACCCATACCCAAGAAAAAAAATTTCGACTATTTGAATTTTTAAAAATTGATTTTCCATTTCGACCACTACGTTCGTCGGAAATACTCATTATTATTATCTTTTTTGGAATTATATTTAAAGCTAAAGTTAGAGCATGAGACTGTCAACCTCATTCGCTGCTCAGCGCATCCCTCTCACTCCGCACCTCAAACGCCATGGACTATCTGTCTCTCACCTAGACTACAGCTTCATATCCATCTTATTTCCTCAAAATTTAGCAGATTACAGCTTCATTTTGCGAACTCAAGAGTCGCCTTGTACTCAGATCTTCACTCCATGTTCACCGAAACACAAACACTTCGTTTTAGGGCACAACTTCAGGCTGCTTATTACCTCAATCGTCTAGATTCCGTTCATGAATGATAGGTTTCTCTCCTATACGAAGCTGAAAACCTAAGTAACGTGAAAATCAATACCATATTAAGACCGATCGGCAAAAATCACAGAACCCTAGCATAGATTTTCTGCAAGATGACGTCGGCGGAGTAAAAGCAGATAAGTTTCCAGAACTCTTATAATTCTGTTTATATCTTCAACATACTTTATTGTTGTAAATTCTTCACAGCATACCTTATTGTTGTATGGGAAAAGGTTTGTTGGTCCTGTTACACCAACAGTTTTATCTCTAAGGAAGGAGTTGTTCCCAATTCCTTATCATGAAATTAACTGGAACCAGGCACGAAACCAATGCGCAAAGGTTTGTGAGGCTTGTACTTAATCTCTATAGAGCGCTGAGAATTCATTCAAGTTTACCTGACTATTTCTAAATTCTAATTTTGGGGTACTCTAGTGGCTACCAACCTTAATTGTACACTATTGGTTCTTGTCATATAGTTCCTTAAGAGTCTATAATATCCTGTTGTAAATAGAGATTTATTCACTCTGCTTATCAACAGAGCTCTTCCTTGTGTTCAGTGGACATATGTTACAATTTGATTGATGGCAAAATTGCTAGGTTTACAATCTGTCCCGCACTCGTTTCTTTTACAATATCATCATAGTTATCCTTATTGTTAAAATATGTTGTTTCTCTTGGTAGAATTACTAATGGAGCCTCTCAAGTACTGAACAGTTTTCAAAACAAAGCCTTTACATGTGAATACAAGTACGTTTCATGGAACTTAAAAGTTTCTTTACATATTTCTGGTTTGTATATCATCCTTGTTCTTTCATCCTTTTTATGTAATTAGAACATAACCACACATTTGTAGACATGCCATCCATTTGGAGGTGCATGAACCCAAACAGTTTGTTAAGAATGTAAGAAACTAGTGGGTTTTGCAGCTTTTGTTATTCTTGCTAGAAGTTCAAACTTCATGGGCTTTTAGTTGAAGAGTTTAGTTTCATGATTAACACATGTTGGAATATCAAGAGACTCCTTAGCTACCTCTCAGCCTATGAATAAATGAGGCTATTGCAATATTTCTATCAAGTTGTTATTATTTGGTAATAATGTAACTCTACTATTATTTTACTTGCTTAACATATGGAGCTTCCTAGTGGTGGGTGGTGGATCTTTGTCCCCAAGGCCATCCAATTCATTATTTCTTAATGCAGTTTAATGAAGAAATGAGTTGTATGTCCATAAAAAATGAGAGCAATTTTTTTTTTCAAATACAAACTTAATATTCAACCATTTTATATGTTTTATTACTAAAACTTGTAATGTTAGAATATATAATCAGGGATTTGGACACTTATATTTTTACAGATATGATGGCCAGTGAGCCCAGATTCACAGATTAGCTGATGGCTCTGTGCGCGTTTTCTCAAGGAATGGGGATGAAACAACAAGAAGATTCCCTGATGTAGTTGATATAATTAAAGAATCATGCAATCTTACTGGACAAACTTTCATACTAGATGCTGAGGTATTACTTTTGCACTTAGTTGCACGGAATGTCACAGTAATAGCCACAACTGTATTGTTATTAAGAAACTTCTGCTGTTTAGTTGAGTGATGATACCCTATTTTGTGCTCACAGGTGGTTGCAATAAATAGGAAAAATGATTCAAAACTCATGTCATTCCAAGAATTATCTTCCTGAGAAAGAGGGAGTAAAGATTCCTTGATCACATTAGATACAATAAAGGTCTACCATCCCCATACATTTTCTTAGTTTACACAGAACTAAACATTATAGAACTATATTTCATTACCATACATTAGATATTAAGCAATAAATAGATAATTAAGCAACTAAATATTAACTAAATAGTTGAACTCATATGATTTTTTTTTCTGTTTATGATAGTACATCCATAATTTATACAATTGTCCAAGAACAACACAACCAACAGAACCTGAAAATATGTGATTCTCTACATCGCAAGTAAGTTTTATCTACTTTCTTACATAATACATAATACATCCATAATTTGTATTATGTAAGAAAGTACATCCATATTATGTAAGAAAGTACATTCTTATCTAGTTTTATGATAGTACATCCATAATTTATACAATTGTCCAAGAACAACACAACCAACAGAACCTGAAAATATGTGATTCTCTACATCGCAAGTAAGTTTTATCTACTTTCTTACATAATACATAATACACTATTTAATTGGGTAGTAAATTATCAGAACTAAGCTAAATTTATAGCATAGATTGTTTTTAAATCTTTCAGGACCTTAGTGGGTATTATGGATGACTATTTGGATCTGTGTTTCGCACAAGAAATGATAAGAGTCTCAGGTTTGCTTACATATTTACTCTTTTGGCTACACAATTTTCACTGTTGGCTCTAGTAACTAGTAATTTCTTCCATTTTCAGGTTGACCTACTTGTTTGTGAGGACTTGATGCGTGAAAGGTTTCTTAAACTGGGTCTTTACATTGTTTAAATGACTTCCTCTTTGTTGGCTATAAAGAAGAGTGTTAGTTCCTTAATTGATGATTTTGGTGTAGTGAATCATCTAGAATACTTGGGAGTGCAGTTTACATTGTTCTGTGCTCCTTGGTTCCTTTCAATTTTTTTTAACTGTGCTGACATGGGAAAGTGGTGAGTGATATGCTTTGCTTGTGTTTATGGGCTATCTATTGAAAGGTACCAAGGAGCAGATTAGTTCATGGACTAATTGATAGGCCATAAACTAATTGATATCACTTTATAGACTATCAATTATATTAGAAAACTATACAAAAAATGTTAGAAACCCTTTTTGCTTGTGTACTTGTCCATAAACTAATTGATACTGCATAAATTCTAGACTCTATTTTTGAATAATAATTACTTTAAATAATCCCTCATTAAAAAAATTCAGCTTTGTTTGGGTTCAATTATTTGAAGGAAATTCACATATAGTGCAGTTCTAAAGTATTAACATATGTGGTTTTGATTCATTCTTCTTTTGCAGATCTTTTTCATTGGAGTTCATGGACATGCCCCTCATGCCGAATTTATGAGGTGAATGTTCATATGTGCACATGCGTGCACACACAATGTTTTAAGACATTATCATTGCATTTTTGTGTTTTTACAAGGGCAGAAACAGGGGGAAAACATATCTAAAAATGGGTGACTTAATGTCATCGGAACACTATATGAGTTCTGGCTTTATTTATTCTAGACAATCCTAGTCCTAGAATCATGTTTGCTTGTTACTACTATCTTATGTTAGGTGGTCCATCTATATAAGAGAAAGTGGATTGAAAAAAACTACGTACCCCCGATTTACAATGATTGGTCAAAGCTTTGGTTCCATCTATCTTTCATGGGAAGCTTTATCCAAGTTCACCCCTCTGTACTATCTAGATACGAGTGGATATGCTTTTAGCTGGATGTATGGTTTTGTTGGTTCCTGCTCACATCTTGCAATGGTGAATTCCTCATGGACACTATCTCATATTGAAAAGTTCTGGGGAATATCATCTCGTACTAGGAGGGTGTATCCTCCTTGTGATACTTCTAGGCGTCAGGTTTACATGTTTGTCTTTTTACTTTGCGGTTCAGGGTCTTTTGTCATTGATAGTTATAACCCATATGTCACTCTTGATATCGTCTTGGCTTGTTGATTGTGTTAATTTGTCATGCAGGTGCTCCCTCTTGAAAGGCCAATGGATCCTCCTAAAATTATATCAGTAGCTCAATTTCGTCTAGAAAAGGTGGGGATCCTTATATAAATAAATCCTTACGAAATGAGGGTATCCATTTTTTCGCTAAAATTACATTTTGAGGAGCAAAAGACAAGTTAGAGTCATGTTGAATTGGTTTGCTATGTACCAGGCTCATCCCATCCAACTGGAGGCTTTAGCTGTTGCCGTAAAAAGTTAGAACCAGGCCTACCAAGGCCCAACCTCCAACTTGTGGGGTAGTTGCAGAAATGAAGCAGATGAGCGAAGACTTCAAAATTTGAAGGACTTGGCTAAAAAATTAAACGTGGAAAATGATGTGGAGTTCCACAAGAATGTGATGTACAGGTTTGGAGCATTACATTGTATATTATGTTACTAATGCTAGCTATCTAATACGATTCTAAAATCTAATATTTGCTTCTTGAGGCAAAAGCTTTGCCTCATAAACAGGACTTATTTTACTCTCAAAGCATTTTTAACTTCATTTTAAAGTATTGTGTTGCAAAGTTTAATTTAGCTCACCAGTAATAGGGAGGATAAAATTATATATATATATATATATATATATATATATATATATATATTCATTTCATTACAGAGGGATCCTCTGTAGTGAAATGAATTTTTTTTATTGACTGCGTCCAGTTTTCCGACCACCAAAGTCGTCGAAATTTCCGATCACCAGTGGTCGAAAAATTTGGACCTGCCTAGCTATTCTCTTGGCCATGTTTTCCGACGGTCTTAGAAAAGTGGTCATTATTTCCGACCACTCTCTCTGGAGGTCGGACATAGCGAGGGGGATTTTTCCGGACACCCAAATTGGTCGGAAAAGAGGTCGGAACAGGCGTTTTCGACCTAATTAAGGCCATTTCCGACCACTTTTCGGTGGTCGGAAAATGGCAAATTTCCAGCAGTGATCCAGGCCATGGTTGTCCTCGGCCGAAAAAAGCTCCGAATAAAATCTGACTGCTTCATCTTTGATTTCGGCTTGTGTGGTTAGTACCCGACCCGTTGCATTTTTTATAGAAGAGATGCGTTGCCGCCGGTGCCTCTCTTTCACAATCAAATGGAAGTATTTTGTATTGGCATCGCCCTCACGTAGCCACTTGGCGCGGGCTTTTTGCTTCCAAAAACATTCTTCCTATTTGAGGGCTAGTAAAAGGTCTGCCTGTAGAGCCTGCAGAGTTATACGATTTTCCCCGGATGAGTTGACCTCATACCTGTATTCGGCCTCGGAAACCCGTGTTTCCAAATCGTTAATTCGGTCGAAGATGTTACCAAAGGTGTCTTTATTCCAAGATTTTAGAGACTCTTTGAGTCGCTTTAGCTTGAATGCCAGTTCCCGCATTCCTCCACCAGAAGCTGGTAAAATCCAATTTTGGCAAACCCTATCTAGGAAGCCCGGGTGAGTTAGCCACATGGTCTGAAACCGGAATGGCTTGGGACAAGATACCGTCTCATTAGAACCATTGAATAAAAGGGGGGCGTGATCCGAAGTAGTCCTTGGTAACACAATGATCCTCACATCCGTGAAGGTATCCCGACAGACATCATTCATAAGAAAGCGGTCCAATCTTTTCCAAACCGGCCCTGTAGTGCGTATCCCGTGCCAAGTGTATTGATTTCCTATCACTGGCAAATCAATTAAATTACAAAAAATTAATTTTTTTAGTATTAAGTGAATATAATATATAATATAACTGAACTCAACATAATATATAATATAACTATATAATTGTATTTAAATCGTAATTAATACTTACTTGTAAACATATGTGGCTAAATAACAATTTTTCTTTCTAGATTGCATGGTGGCATTTATATACGATACCCTGTCTTCTCTAATCATCAGTTTCGGTTGAATATATTATGGATCTAGGAGGTCATACATGATTTTTTAGGCTAAACCAAAATCTTTGTAAAACCTATTCACAATTACAATCAATTATATATATTACTAACAATTATGATAATAAATAAAATTAAAACTGTTATAAACAAGTAATACTAAAGAACTTATTACCATATAAAGACTGAAAAAGAGAAATATCGATGGTTTGCATATTTAAGAAACATATGATCTCTTGACTCTCGAGCTGCAAGTCATACGTAACGTTGTCCATAATACCACAAGGGATAAGAATTACAATATTTTGTTTAAGACCGGTAGCTATTCTATATGCCCTTTTGCATAGAGTACTCAAAGACTTCAAATCAGCTACAGTGTCATGATGAGAAGATTGCACAACCGGTTCAAAAGTCAATTTGGCATTTCCTTTTAACTGTACATTCTAATATAAGAATTATTATTTTTAAAGAAGCAAATTACATACTATTTTAGAATAAAAATATTTGTGGTGTACATACCTCATAGCTTCAGTACATAACTCGACTAGTCTCTTTGGCCAAATAATAAAATGTTGATATGCATCACATAAACGCTGAACCTCACTGGTGGGAATTCCTACAATTTCACTAAGATCAAGAACTTTATCTATGCTCACCTTCACTTGATTTGCATCTAGTACAATCTCGTGAACATGTCTGCATACCACTGTAAGCTGTCCCACATGTAATTGAACGTCTAATTGGATCTTCCAATAACAATTGACATCGTGCCCCTTTAGTATTAATATTTTGCACATTTAGTATTAACATTTGCATATATATTTAGTACTCTGTATCATGGTTGCAGTAGGCACTAGGGGCTAGTCGGGCGGTAGAGTAGCGCCTAGCGCCTAGACGGTCTAGGCAGGTGCCTATGCAACTAACTAACTAAAAAAAAATAGTAGATGTGTGTGAGTGTATATATGTCATATTACACGCGCGCGCACACACGCACACACCGAATTCGGCTGAGTTAGGCGCCTAGGGCAGAAATCGTCACGGTCTAGCGGCGCCTAGATTGATTTTTGCAACAACGCTCCGTATTAAAGGATTATACTGGCAAAAATGCAAAAGTTCATTTCACTTAGTTTTGATTTTAGAGTTTGACTGAGTTTTTCATCATTTTATTTGGTATAGTGATTTACTTTTTACTGCTTAAGGTCTAACATTTATACTTTAGATGGTTAAAGTTTGCATAGTGAAATTAATGATACTTACGAAAATGTCACTGTATTCCCGTGTAGTTCTGTCATTGTGAGAATCATATATCAGATTCTAGTTGTCGTCATATAGAACAGTAATGTAGAAGTTATTTATTTACAAGGGCAATGTACATTTCCTAGGCTTGAACAGGCACCTCACACTGGCCTATATAAAGAGCGCAAAGGCTCCAAACCAAGTCCAAGAGGATCACAGAGGATCGCAAAGGCTAAAATAATAAAAAAACTTTTGCAGGTTGGATCTGAATTAGTCTTTCGGATTGCAAGTCCAAGAGGATTACAGTTACACGTAAGAAAACTCTTATGTCGCTTCTTGAATTGACTTTACGATCAATACTAGTGGCAGTGCTATGCCCCTTCTTGACGTATTGCTAGTATGGAGTATATTTTAGGGTGAATTTCATTTTTGGTCCTACTGTTATAGGAGCGTTTTTAATTTTAGTACACTTTAATTTTTTTTGTCACTTTACAACCACTGTTATTGGATGTGTTTCACTTTTAGTCCACCGTTAATATTTTTGTTAAGAGGCCGTATAATCCGGGGGTATTTTGGTCTTTTTTATGGTTGTCTCTTCTCCTTTAATCAAGACGCTTCGTCCTCCTCCTCCGATATTCGAAAATGGCTCTTCGAACAATGAGAATGGGAAGCCAAAGCTATCGTTTGTTCCAACGTGGACCGGTGAGGTTTCTTAGGTTTTTGGTTTAATGTTCTCATTTCTTTTAATCAAACATAGTCTTGGATAAGAAGAAAGATCAAAATACCCCTAGATTACACGGCCTACTACGTGAAAAGAAATGTTACAAGCATGGATGATATTGTGCCTCCTAGTCACTCCAGTCTTTGCATTTGAAACTACCAAGGATGCGAATCCCCAAGCTCTACGTCTTTCACCCCACCACCGCTAGCCACTTGGACAAGCTTTAAATTATCATTGACCTGGCCAAATGACTACTGTAAAATGCAGAAGTGTATACCAAACAAAATGGAGAAGTGGTTTACTTTTTTACAATTACCCGTGCGATACACGTGCGATGCATGAATAAAATTTGTATTATATATTACCAATTAATAAATATTAGTTAATTTTCATATAACATTCTGTTACCAATAAAGTTTTATTAATTCTTTTACCAATTAATTAATTAATTAATTAATTAATATTAAGAAAAGTTTGAATAAAGAGGAGGATTTTACTTTATAGATAGTATAAGTGTCACTATGTTCCCATTATAGTTCCGTCAGTGTGAGAATCATATATCAGATTATGGTTCTCGTCATATAGAACAGTAATGTAGAAGTTATTTATTTACAAGCGCAATGTACATCTCCTATGCTAGAACAAGGATTACTAACACCTTGCTCTGATTGCAACGGAATGAAAAGAGTGAAAACAAGAACTTAGTAGGAGTAATGAATTTACCACAGCACAACCAACAATCACTCAATTGTAATTCCACCTATCTCTAGACTATCTAACTTCTTGGGTCTCCTATAGTTCTTCAACAGAAGAGAACTGCAAACAACACTCACTGAAGAGGCAGCCATTGCAGCTCCGGCAATCCAAGGAGGGAGGCGGAATCCGGTGGATGGGAAGAGTGCCCCAGCAGCAATGGGAATTCCAAGCAGATTGTAACCCAAAGCCCAAAAGTAGTTCAATCGGATGCGGGAGAAGGTCTTCCTAGAAAGATGTATGGCAGTAATTACATCTTCCAGGTTGTTTTTCATGATCACAATGTCAGCTGCCTCTATGGCTATATCAGTCCCCGCGCCAATTGCCATTCCAACATCAGCTGCTACAAGGGCCGGAGAGTCGTTGATTCCATCTCCAACCATTGCTACTACTTTTCCTGAAGCCTATCATCAAACACAGACAGATTAATACAATTTCAGTATCTGGGAATTTGGTGACTAACCCAACAAGGATAGTGTTGGGCAGAGGCCGATCAAGGGCCAAGGCCAAGACTAGCCCCCGGTGGCTAGTGGGATTGTTCAGCGGAGGCTTGAAGGGTCAAGTCCAACACCACCTCTAAAAAATGTGTGCATGTATAAGGAAATAAAATTGCGCTTTTGCTAAGAGCTATAGCTTTTAGCATAGTGGTAAGCGGTTGATCCTAACAGGTGATATTAGAGCTAGGCTGGGAGGGGGAATTGTTGGACAGAAGCCAGTCTAGAGCCAAGTTTAGCACCCGGTGGTTTGGGGATTGTTGGCAGAGGCCTAAAGGGCCAAGTTGGGCCAAGTCCAGCCGTTTGCCTCTCGAAAATGGCCTTCGCTACGAGCTATGCAAATTAGAACAATTAAGTTT